CCTCTCCTCCTTGCAACAGATCAAACAGATAACCCAGAAATTAAACTCTTGCCGCTATAATTTTGCATATTCTTGAATGTTTGGTCTGTATGTGGAGAGGTTGTGTCATTTCTTACTCAAAAGTAATTTTTCTTTTTGGTCTTCCATTTATCACTTCTGAGTTTCTCATTTTCTACCTCCATTCCTTCAAAGTTCTGACTTAATTTTCAATCTTTTTTGCTCTTATGCTCTGTTTCACACTGATAAAATCAGTGCAACCTCCACCACTGGTGAAGCATAGAAACCTTACTTGCTGCCTATTTATTTTAAAGGTCATTAATGTTTCCATATTAGAGGATGACAGATTATATATGGCATCACAAACTTCTCTGTGAACAGACAAGCTGTATAAGCTGGCTGGGTTTTAAAAAAGTTATGTAGAATCAAAAAACAATGATTAAGAAATTTTTTAAATCTACTGAATATTTGCTAGGAAACAACCAAGAAAATGTAAGAAGTAGAGGAGTTGCTAATTTAACATTTTTATTACAGTGTGTCCTTCATTCATGTTTTATAATTCAAGATACCTTGAATTATGTTTTATCTTTCAAGATATTAATGCAGCATTAAAAGCCTGTTTTCACCTACATAACATGGAAAAAATATCCAATCACTTTTAACTGCTTAACTTGTTATGATTTTTTTTTTCACTTTTTTAGTAATAAGAATCAACATTTAAAAGACAATTTTATCTTATAAAGATTGAAAAATTATTAGGACATAATAAGTCATATACTGCTCAGACTAAGAGGTAGCTTATATAATTATAATTTTAAAAATCCTGAATTTTCATTCACAGAATTTCAACTCACAAGCCTTTCCTTTTTGGCAAATTCTAAGGCCCATTTCTGCAGTAAGGGGAGATTGCTCTTTACAGTCCCATGTATAAATTCAATTGCCATTATACAGTTAGTTTAGAGAATTTACATTTGTGACGTAAGAATTACAAGAAAAAGATATATTTGACTATAAAATATGTTATTTCTTTTTACTATCTTGATTCAGGCATATTACTCTTAAATTCTGATCCAAATATTCTGAATAATTTATGAGGGGGTATTATATGTGTTTCTTTTTGTTGTTATTCTGTTTTGTTTGATTTTTCATTATATGAAAAGGAGTTAGATGTAGTTACATGTCTTCTAAACCAGAAGATTTCAGTGAAATAATATATATAATTACATTGCAGAAAAAGCTCTGGTCTAACAAATTATAAATAGCTGGTGTTTTCAAGATAGACAATGAAAAACTTTATTTTCCACATGGAGGGAAAAAAAAACCCCACACAAAGTCTTAAACCTGAAGTGCCAACAATCTGTATGTTTCATTTATTTCTGCATTTTTATTTACTAATTTTTATGGTCAGAAATTCAGTGGAAGTACTTGGAATATGTAGATCCTCTGCTGAACAGGGCTGGCAAGATAGTTCAAAATGACACAGAAAAGGCTGAGGTATCTTGTGTCTAGTCCTCTATGAGTCAGTTCTCATGGGGAAGTGTCCAGTCCCCAAGTATCCATCTGAAATAAAGAATGAAAAAACAAACAACAGAATAAATTCTAGGATGAAAAAAATTTTAAAAATTAAAATTGAGTGAATAATTGCTTATTTGACAACATCCCATATAGCCTTTTGGGACAAACTGGCAGAATAGGACTGGAGAGATGTACCATTATATGAATGGAAAGCTAGATGAACTATCAAGCTCAAGCCAAGCTTGAAGGGAGGTGATTAATGCTTCAAAAGCTGAACTGACAAATTACACTCCATATGCCGTAGGAGTTTTTCACCATCCGTGTGGGACTCTTATATGCTGAGTGGGTCCTGCTGATCATTCCTTGGCTCCAGTTAAGCCTCAGTTGGTGCAACAGTGCCACTGGTGCACTGCGCTGGCAGTGACAGGCATCTGTCGTCCTTTTGGTTTCAGCAACCTCAAAACAAAAGGGAGAAATCAGACAAGGTAGAACAACTTATTTTCTTCCCTCTCCAAGGCAGCTACACTGAAAACCCACTGCTATACTTTTGGGCCTTTGAAACAGCCTTTGCTGAGATAGTCTATGAAAAAGATGCATGGAACATCTGGGCCAACACAATGGAATGCTTTTGCCACTTATTCCTGGTTTGGCTCATTTCAGCTTCCAATATGTTTAGCTGTTGAGATCCTCCTGTCACTCTGGAAATCCAAATGGGTCCCATTCCTGTATAGCTTTGAGGCATAAGGATACACTGGGTACCAATATCTTACTGGACCCTTTTATCTCTGTGAGTCTGATCTGCCAGGCCATCAAATTCATACATACCAGCAAATCTGGTTGTCCCTCTCTTCCACCTGACTAGAGGCCAGGCCTCTCTAGTACTGATCATAGAAATCTCCACTTACCTCTTGCAAAAACAGATTAGAATTCTTTCCCATAGAATCAGGAGCAATACCAGCAGTTCTACACTCTCTGTGTTGTTGCCCACTGGAGACTGGAGCAGCAACTTCCCTGGAAGGACTCTCATTTGTGATTGTTTTTCCCTGTGATTCCCACACCAATGCTTCTAGGGTAGAGTTAGTTTTTCCATCCCACCTTCTCATGTCTCTATGGCTACACAGGAGACTGTATGCGTACCTTCTATAGCCTCACTATGGAGCAAAAAATACTTACTGTTCGAAGCCAAGATGCAAGTGCATACAGGTGGGAAATGGGACATATCCTCTTTTTATTTCCTGGACCCCCTGGGATAGTTTTCCCCACTTTTTGGACAGTTTTCCCATAGCCAAAATGCCAGCCTACAGGGAGAAGAGAGGGTTTATTTGTATTTTTAGAGTTGATGAGACAATTCATTTATTGATGGCAACTCTTTTTCTCTCCAGGTCATTATTGCCATTGGGTTGGCACATGACTATTGTGTGCTCTGTTCCAATTTCCACCACGTGGTTCATCTGCATTGGACTTCTGGATCTGCAGGTGACTGCATGTTGTTTAAATCATGATAGAGCATCTTTATCACAGCTAATTCCCTCAGGTGCTAGATACCTCTCTCCATCGTGGCCCATTTATCTGTGTGACATACAATTTTTTCCTTGAAAGAGATTCCTTTCCTTCACACTTGATAGGAGTTGCCTCCAGAGACTCAGGACTTGTGTCCCTTTTCCAACTGCCTTATCAAAGCCTCTTTCCCTAGCAAGTGATGCCACCTGTCTGACTTCTCTATCCTCTAATGGAAGGCTGTCAGCCCTGTTATCACAGCATCAGACAAGCCAGGTGATAACATGCTAAAGTTTTTTCACACATCCCATAACACACTCAGTGATAGACTTTTTTTTTTGTTTTTAACTCTTGTTCTACGTCTTGTCTTGTTCTTGTACTGACCCTGTTTTGCTCTCCTTTAGTAAGTAGCAAGCCAAGTTTCATGTCCATTTCTGCTTATAGAGAGAGGTGACTGATGCTGGCATGGATTGGTTCTCTGGCTCAGTTGCACCACTCATCACGAGAGCCTGAGTAACTGCAATGCCCCGCCCTAAGCGGGGTTTGAACAGCCGCAGTGCTCATCACCAGGCTTTGTGTAGCTGCAGTGCTTGTCACAGGGGTTGGAGTAGTCACAAAGTGTTGCTTAACCATAAACAAGATCTGAACCACATTCATGGTTCCTAGCAATAGGATCATCTTGGCTTCAGCATCCCAAGGATATTCAAAATTTTCAAAATTCTTAAACACTATTGCAATTGTCCTGCAGGAAAAGGAGAAGACGTGGGAGGCTATCTCGACAGTCTCTCCGAGCACGTAAAAGGTGTAATTGTTAATAATTTCCGATAGATGGCTCCCGAAGTACAGACCTGACGGCAATGCTGAGTACAAACGCCAGATTAGTTTCAGGACCTGTAATTCCATCATATCATAAGGCAGTGTTACAAAGTTCAGCATCATGATAACCTTAGTCCAGCACTCAGAGGTGATATTAGCACAATAGTGCGATAAGGAACACACACTGCAAGGAAAGTTAAATGCAGCTCTGAGAACAAGCACAATTCTGAGAGCAAATAAATACTATAACCAGCAACTATTCAAATTATATATATACTT